TCAACCAGCTATTCGCAAAAGTCAACTGCCTCGGCTAAATCAACCGAAGTGGACAAACCAAATGTGCAACACTCCAATGGCCGGGACGAGTTAGAGCAACAATTTGGGGAGCTCGTGGTAGACGACATAGAAGAAGAGACGGAGCCACCCTTTCAGGAGGCCACATTAAAACGGAACGAAAGCGTTAACAGCCTGCAGAGCAAAACAGAAAGCATTAAGACACAGCTTGAAGATGCCACACCACAAATGTCACGTGCGCAGTCAATTAAATCCTTGGCCATTGAAGAGGAGATTGATAGCAACAATAGTTTCGTAGTGGTTGAGGAGCTCCAGAACGAGCTGCAAACAACAGCCGTAAAGTCGCCGCCCATAAAACAATTGTCAGAATTATCAACAGACAATGAAACATTCCTCGCATCTTTATCGCGAGCTTCATCCAGCAAAAAGGATGAAATCACGCACGATGATAGAGCCATACACTCACGTAGTATCTCGTTGGACTCGCTCTATGGCCGAAGACCCGCTTCTAAGCAAGGTTCGCTGGACATCAGTAGCACCGCAACCGATAACAGCTCTCAGACCGGTTCCCATCCTGACAATAGCAGGTTGGCTCCAAAATCACAGCATACTTCGCTAAAACAAAAGTCGAAGACTTCATATCTTCTGCGTGGCCAGCGTCGCGTCTCCCCTGTAAAACAGGCCATTAAGATATCACCGACGGAATTGTTTCCGCCGCATATGTCACGCTTTGAGAAGCCACGGGAAGCCCTAATAAAGACGCTTGATCAGCTTGACTCGAATAACTGGGAAGTGAACATAACAGGTCTGAAGTATATGGTGCGTCTGATTCGCCACCATGCAGATTTCTTGGACAGCCATATGCATATGACATGCATCCAACTTACTCGCTCCGTACGCAATTTACGCTCACAGGTTGCCCGTGCAGCCTGTCAGGCCGCAACAGAGTTATTTACCCTGAAATGCAAATCATTGGAGATTGAGTGCGATGACCTGGTCTGTGCGTTGTTGCACCGCACAGCAGACACAAATCGTTTCCTGCGTGCAGATGCCACCCGAGCCTTGGAGTCTTTAGTGGATAACGTGCAACCTCCGAAGGTACTCAACATATTGACAAGCAAAGGTGCTCAGCACCAGAATGCCATAGTTCGGACGACGACTGCGAAACTGCTGTTTAGACTAGTCGAACGCTTAGGCTGCGATCGCATCTACTCGATGGGACGCGAAAGTCGCGACAAATTCTTTATGGTTGGTGCAAATCTTCTACTTGAAGGCAGCCTCGAAACACGCAGCTATGCCAAGTCATTGTTCCGTGCTTTGTCAGAGCACGGAAGCTACCAGCGATTACTGTTAGAGGTAATACCACCGCGAACATATCGAAATGTGGAAAAGACACTGAGAAGCATTACCCGTTAATCTCTTAATTTACACGAATATATGTATATAAAGGTTACCCTATTTTAATGATTTGAGATGTACAGTGAAAACAAAAGCCTATAATCTTAATCATGACATGCTTTGAACGCAATAGATCCTAGATACTACATTTACGCCTTTGTATATTCAAGACTATAAAAAAAAAAAAACACGAACTTTAAGCAATTTATTGCGCACTACAGTAATCTCTTTCCGTTGATATATCGCTGATCAGACCTTCGATTGCCGCCACTGTTGTTGTGTTGTTGCTGCTGATGTGGTCTTGGCCGTTTGCGGTCCATGACGGCACTGTCGCTGCGGCGCCGTAAATCTCTATTGTATTTGCTTTGGACGCCAGCGGTACATTCAAGCATACTGTGACGAGCATTACGTGGACCAGCGTGGTCGTTGATTGGTGGAGCGGGTGAGGCAAACCCTTGAGAAAACGGATTGCGTGTCCTTTCTTGCCTTATAAATGGTACCTTAGGTTTATCTGGGCATTGCTGCCGGATTAGTACTTTCTTTTGAAATAGTTCAAGTCCTTGATAGAGCTCCATTGCAAAGGGCACTGCACATTTGTGCTGATAAGTAACAAATCCAAAATTACGCTGACGTCCAGTATTATCCAGTGGTATACGCGCGCTTTCTATGGGACCTGCTTGCAGAAATACTTCATAGAGTATTTCCTCTGTTACGCGTTCATCCAGGTTATTACAAAACAATGTGCGAGTTTGCTCATCATCATCTGCATCTTCGTCATTCGGGTCCTCTGTATCATTTTGAGGGTGAGATGATGCTTCTTCTGATCGCCCATATCCGTAGCCACCGCCAACGAAATTCATATGCTGTCCAAGTGGTAAAGGCAACTGCATGCCCATCAGGTTGGCTGCATTGCAGATGTGCTGCTGCAGTGCGGCCTGTTGAATGGCGGCCATAAAATTATCCATTTTAGTTATTCTTAATCAAAATACTTTGCAATTGAATGTATATACAAACAAACGAGAAGATTGTTTTTATTTTTCCAGTCGATATATCGATAAGTGTAAATGCGTCCCTACGTGTGTGTGACTGGCAAGCCGTGTGACCGTATTGCATGCATTTAAAAACGAAATGCCGCCAAAATCAAAAATTTCGTTTATTAATGTTCATTCAATGCAATAAATGTTCATGCCATAATTAACATGAACATGTAATTGATTATAAATAAAAGTTATTTGGTATAGACGCCATATTACTGTTAATGTACAGAGCGAAACGGAGGAAAGAAGATATACACTTGTTGCTAGTTCTGATTGTTGTTATTGTCGGCACTGTCGCAACTGATTGACTTATTCAACTGATACCAGACATACACAATTCAGTTAATCATGAAAAGATTCGAATCAAAAACGTTGTGTTTATTCAGGGAGCACTTGTTGAAGTGAACACAGCCAGAAATGAAAATAGTTCGTCTACAATTCATGTTATCTACGCCACTTGAGTAAATTTTTTTTAGTCTATTATGACCCACACATGCAAATAGTCATACTATCAGTAATTGTACAATTATTTGTTATTATCTACATAACCATGTGTGTGTGTTCTTATACGAGCATGAAAAGCAGTGTGGGCTCTACTTTCCGATTTCATTCAGTCACTGCACGTCAGTGTAACCGCAAAGCACACCTAAATAATGGGAGAAGTACCCGAAATTACAGATTTGCACAAAGTGATTGAGCCGCATTTGAAGGGCGCCACACTTGAAACCTACGAAAGCCGCTACCTGACTAAGCCCGGTGATAATTATGGAAGTATTATGCTAGCGATCAATGCGAAAGTTAAACAATCGAATGACATCATTGAGGATTTGCCACTAATTGCAAAGTTACCGCCACTTACTAATGATTTGTATTGGCAAATTTTCCAACCCGAACGGACATGCATTACGGAAAATGCCGTCTACAAGTATTTGGTACCGGAGCTCGAAAAGCTACAGCTTGAATCCGGCGTACTGCCAATCCATCTCTTTGATGGCTTTCCACGTTACTTTGGTTCGCGTATCTCACTCAGCACGGAAACCAACAAACTTGACAGAGACGCAGTTCTGGTGCAGGAAAACTTAACGGCACGTGGTTATAAGCCTGGCAATAGGCACAAGCCGTACGATCTGCAGCATACGGTTCTCATATTGCATTACATGGCGCAGTTCCACGCCTTGCCCCTTGCCCTGCGTCTAAAAAAACCAAAAGTTTTTGAACAAAATGTGCTGCCGTATTTCAAAAAATTTAATATGGGTGACAATATGGGACCTGATACCAAAGATGTGTTAAACGAGGAAACTTTAAATGACGTTAAGGATGTCTGCAAGGATGATGACGGCGTTTATCAACGCGTAAAAGAATTGCTGGACATCTTTGATGCTTTTCAGGCAACTAAACATGTAGAGAATGGACCTTGGACTTCTGTAGGTGGGGTGGTTTACTTTCCATAAATGTCATATTTTATTCTCTGTATATCGAAAGACACAGTAATTGTAATACACTTAAATTTTTCTTTAGTTCATATGGACTTATGGATAAATAACATGATGGTCAAATATGGTAAGAAACATTTTGAAAAAAGATATTAGCTGAGCTCGTTAATTATTGAATTTGATTTAGATGATGTCGGCCTTCCCGCTAAGCTTAAAATTGTAGACTTTCAAATTGCCCAATACGAGTCGGTGGTCCACGACCTAATCTTTTTATTGTTGTCAAGTGTAGGTCAGTTTATATTAATAACAACAATTATAAAAGAATGCTCAAAATGCATATTAATATCTGTATACTGTAGATACGTTGGTGTTGGAGGAAAACTATTATAATTTTCTACGCATATACTACGAAGCATTCATTCAGTCATTGCATACCGTGAAAGTGGATACAAAAAGCTATAGCTATGAGGCGTAAGTAGATCAAAATTTCATATTAATTATTATTCTTACATCAGAACAGAGAACTTTTATGAAACTAAAACAATGTTGATAACATAAGTAGTTAACTGTCTTTTCCCCATTACGTAACAGGCGATAAGACGGTCAAAATATGTGCTCAAGGTTTTGGTTGATATCATGGTTATCAACGAAAAAATTGCAAATCATTTTCAAAGTTGAATCAAGATTAATAGAATAGATTTTAGCTTTCTAAAACTGTGTTTTAAATGTAAGCCTTTGTATAATCTTTTGTTAGCATTGATATCAGTTTGTATATAATAGCAAAAATATTTACTTACAGTTTTCTCAAGGAAGTTCAACGTGTGGCGCATATACAGGTGCCACATGCTCTCTTCATGACGAAGGTACTTTTGGCCGACAACAACACGCTTCCAAGCGATTACAAGGATGTTGATTTGACGGTTTTAACTAAAAACAGAGGAGGTGAAAAAATACTGCTTAAAATTGGTGAAATTTTAAGGTTGGCTAAAGCGTTTAACATATTTGACTAAATATATGTATGCATTTTATTTCGGCATCCTTAAAATTCTTATTTCTCCTTATATGCTCTCCGTAGCGCAAGATAAGTCTATTAGTTTTAGAATATTGCCACTAATACCAACAAAATTCTATAAGAAATCTATATAAAAAATGAGTTTGAACCGATCAGATGAGATTTGACCGAGTTATGGGGGTGGGAAATATTGACGGGATTTTTAGCTTTGTCTGTATAAGATTTGAGGGTACCACCTTTACATGAATTTTGACCTAGAATAGGTTCGGCAGATTTAGATGCCAAAATGATTAAAAGGGCAAACCATGAACAAAAAGCAAAATCTTATGAAAATCAGACGAGATTTGAGATTTATAGAGGTAGGAAATATTGACCTATGTCTATATAGGATATTTGAGGATACCATTTCCTTATGAATTTTGACCAAGAATAGTGTTGCCAGATATAGATCCCAATCAATCAACAAAGACCCAAGCCTCTGTCGTAAGTACATCCAGAATTTCATGTTTATTAATATTCTTACTTAAGGACAGACTAAACTGAATATAAGCATGCATTTTGTTTCGACTGCCGGGAACTTCTGGCTTCTGCTTATATTATCTGGTTAGCACATGGCGAAAATAAAAGCGAGAGAGCAAGAAAGAGAATGAGTCTTTATCAGTTTAAAAGATTGCTACAAACAAACGTTATCTGAGCGATAGCCAAAAAGTCTAGCGTATTGTGTATGTTTCAGACCCCAACCGTTCTATTTTATGTATACATCAATAGCGCGCTAGCTTAGAGTAAGACGCTACGTGGAACTCATCAGAATGAATAACCTGCCAGTAATTCAACAGTTGGGTCAAGTAATTGAGCCAGCACTTAATGGCGGTAGCCTCTATTCGTATGAAGTAGAAAGCTTAACACAGCCGGGTGATAATTATGGCAGTGTTTTAATATCCATTCGAGCCCAAATAAAGTGCCCCGACGGTAAGCTGTTTGCTAAGCGGTTTGTAGCGAAAGTGCCACCCACAGACCCAAAACAGTGGCAATTTATACAGCCCGAACGCACCTGTTTGGCAGAAATTGCAATTTACGAGAGATTAGCACCTGCATTGACCACTTTACAGGAGGAGGCAGGCACACCCAAAGACGCACAATTTGATGGCTTTGCGCAGTATTTTGGCTCACGCATATCCCTTATCCCAAACGCAAACGTTGTGGATAAGGACGCAATATTGGTGTTGGAGGATCTGCGGGACAGCAACTACGTGCCGGGACAGAGGTTAAAGCCTTTTGATTTGCTCCATACACATGTGGTGCTAAGGTATATGGCGCAATTCCATGCTCTGACTATTGCTCTACGATTGAAGAACCCTAATGTATTTGAAATGGAACTTAGACCGTTCTTTCACAAGTTCGATTGGCATGCAGCCGCGCCGGAAACGAAAGCAACGATGATAGCGGAAACATTAGTGGATATTGCGGAAGCAACTGGCAACGATCAGACAGTGATAGCGCATGTTAAAAAGCTGTCAACTGAATTCTTTAGGTTTCTAGCAGCACCGCCCATCGAAGATAATGCATTTAATAGTGTAATCCACTCAGATTTCTGGACAATGAACCTAATCTTCAAATATGGTAAGTAAGTGTATAAAGCATTTAACGATATAGATTCATTCAACAATTCTCCTAAAAAAAACTCCCACAGATAAATCTGGCAAGCCGACGCAATTAAAAATAATCGATTTCCAAACCGCGCAGTATGATTCAGTTATACACGACCTTATATCATTTTTGTTTACGAGCGTATCAACGTTCGTACTAGAAGAAAACTACGAGAATTTACTGAAATTCTACTATGATGTCTTTCTTGAGACTCTTACTAGAATGGGTGCAAATACAACTGTGTACAGTTACGAGGCGTAAGATACATTTCTTATACATTTACAAAATTACGTCTTTGTAACTACGTATATTTTCAACAGGTTTGATGGTGAGTTGAAACGCATCGCATACATTCAAGTGCCTCACTCTATATTCATGACTCGATTCATTTTGGCGGATGAAGTCTCTTCCACTGAAAATGAGCTCGAACTATCTCAGGTGCTAAATACCACTAGTTCGAAGCGGGTGCATCGGAAATTAATTGAAATTTTGCGGTTGGCACACAAATTTAATATATTATTTTTGGAGTAATTGCTTTGTTTTTAGCCGAAATAATAATATCCCCCTAATGATGTCTGATAATTGCTTGGAGTTTATTTTATTTTAATACAAGTATAGGGCTCACTTGCTGGCTCTGCTCATTTAGTTATCTGTTAACATACGAGAAGGCTATGCACATATTACCCGACATATTTGTGCTTGTAACAATATGGATATTACTATCCATCTATATGGAAGTCGAGTGCAAAGAGGTATCTATCCGTATCCGTTTCAAGTGACATTAATAACGGGCTTGACTATTTAGAGCTGTTACTACGTGAATTTTATTTACACGAACTGGACAGACGATCGGCCACGGTTCATCGTTAACATGACATTTTCCAATCAAAACGGCGTGGGATCAACTACCACCATCAACGAGCCTATTTTGTCACCCATCTCAAAAATGTTAATTGTACAACAGAGCCCTAAGGAAAAGAAACGTATCATTTACAATGTGACCACCAAATTATGCGCAATACAAGGTATTCTCAATGCCGTACCATTATTTAAGCCAGCCAAGGAAAGTGTCTTAAAACAAAGCAATTATACATTCAGTTGTCCCCTTAATAAAGGCGTTTATGTTATGAATAACATGCGCGTCAACCCAAGAAATCCGCTGCTTAGCCTGATGCACCAGGCCAAAGGTATATTTACGCTTATGGGTGCTTTGCTTGAAGAATTACCCAATTCACAAATGCACCCGCTTTCTACTTATAACATAGCTGGTAAGATCATAAGGAAGACCTGTGGTAAAAACGAGTAAGCCGTATTTAAAATACCAGCAAATAGAACAATTTATATATCCTTCTGTTATTTTATTCTTTGTAATTTCATATAATTATTATAACTGCAAAAAGAAGAATACTTTCAGGCTGTTAAATAAATGCAGATACATACCAAATGGGAGCGGACAAGTGAAAGTGTATGAAGAGTCTTTATCAAGGAGAGAAAAAAAAATTTTTTTTTGTATATATTTTAAAGAGTCGGAAAACTTTTAAAACTTTTTTACTATCTTGTCTATGTATGTTACAAAGAGTAGCACGTTTAAACTGCCTGTGATTTTCATTATTAAAACAATTGAACAAAATAATTTAATATTGCCTTTACCACAAATCATTCGAACAATCATTAACTGAAAATTTGAGAAAGTTGTCTATATGAGTAGAGCAGCTGTCCTTGCCTTTTTAGGTCTTCCTATTTTATGTTTGGCTGCATAATGAGATACACACACACATGTCTACAGTAGTATACACATTCAAATCGACTGAATTCAATCACTATTCCAAGTGTAAATGTTCATAAAGCCTCACTGAACTACATTTTACCCCAGGGACTGTCAGCAGTGAATGAACTTTATTTAATTGAACTTGGACATTCATGTACATCAAGAAAAGAGACAAAACCAGAATATATTTAACTTAAGCATGCAGATATATATTCAATTTATCTTTTAATAAGTACAAAGACGGAAAATTCTGCGATCTGAGTTCGGGTAGCTGACTCAATGCACAGTTATATGTATTTAGTACATATCAAGCATTTAAGAAAGGGTATATTGATAGCAGCTACACACACCACGAACTAGCAGTACGCTTATCGGAAACTCTTAATCATTTCACAGAAACAATAACAATGCACAGCCAGTTTTGCTTTTAATCTGCCCAAGTTAAAAAAAAAAAAATAAATAAATAACAAAGGGTCAGCAATTGAGCTCCTTGTAAAAGACAAAGTTGTCAGCCATTATCTGTCTAGTACGTGCCAAAACGCTCACAGACAATTTCGGGTATACACAATGTACATATACGTGTGCATGTGTTTGTTATAGTCAGTAATGATCCATTTTTGTACGCAGCATTAATTAATAAAAATGAATAATTAAATAAAATAAAAATTATTAATCTAAATGAAGCGTCAATTAAAATTTTATAGTCTTTGACGGACACACCAGATGATGAGCTACGTCAAATTCGTCGGTTTCTTATGGTGGCGTTCTCTGTGTTTGGTTCAATGTGCTAATCAGCCAAAGAACAAAAAGATCACTTGGCAAACGCGTGCGACGCCGATGACGTAAAGAAATGGCTCGCGTGTACGGCGTGAACTGCGAAAACGCCAACGCAATGTTCCAAGAAGAGGACAGTATACGTTTTGAGAGTGAGTAACAAGAAAGGGCATGGAATGTATATTATAATGATTTTATCATTGTACCTTCAGAAACATATGAATAAATATACCCAACTCAACTAACAGGTAATCATCTAATAGAATATGTCTTATCAGCACATTTTATGTGCCAAGCATTGATTAATTCTTGTATAATTGTTAATTGGCTATAACATCTTAAAGTATATATATCGTTGATTGTTTTTCTTGTGATTTCAGTATAAGCCACAAAGTTTGCCATTTGCGTTCGATAAGGGGCCATTGTATCGTCACAAATTATGCCCTTTAACCAGAAAATGTTTTAAAATTCTAAAACTATATCTACAAACTTAGATAATTTATATATGAAAACCAAATTTCTTAAAAAATATAAATATATTTAATTAATATTTTGTTTGTAAAGATCGGCAAATAAACACAGTAGATATTTAAGTGCCCACTATTAATATTAACGGGCAACAGCGCTATAATTGTATGCCAATATAATGGATACGTTTGTGGCCCAGGGTATTTCCTGGCCGAGCACAATCGACTTGATTGTTAATTGATTATAATTTCAAACTCTTGTTAAGGACAATAAAATGGGGTAAGGTTCTGTACATAATGTTATTTTAATTGCCAACAATATACATGTTTTATATACATTGTATTTCTATTTCTGTATATTATCGCGTTGCCAAAGTCTCTGTTTTAGATTAAAATTTAACAACCACTTGACTGCGATCACAGTCTACAATCCCTCAGGCATTCAAGCAAGTCTGTTTATGGGCAGTGTCAAATTCGTAATTATCAGGTGATTGCGCACTTAATACAACCAATTGACATAATAAAAAAAAGGCCACCAGCAAAGAGAACAACATAAACATAATTAGCCTTGTTGCCATTTATATGTGATTTATTCTACGTGACGCAGCCAAATAGTTGGCGTAACCTTACGGAAAATCAGTTATTATCGCCAAATGCTGTTGTGTTTGGTTTTTCCTCAAGGGTCTGCCCCACTTCTGATAACGCTTTTTGTGAACATGTAGATAGTATACTAACTAACTCTGAGTCATATCTATCATATTTACTGATGAGCACTGTGCGGTCAAGCAGAAATATATATCTATCACGCACCGTGACCGTGTGCCGTTTCGTAACAAATTTTTATTTATATAAACAAATTGAATTTTTTTGCGGATTATATCAATCTAATTTTTTAAAGTATACGCAGTATACGAAAGTGGCATATGAAATTATAAAATGATTTATGACTGCCCGATAACGTCGTTAATCTATTGTCCGAAAGCAACTAAACATTTCTAACGGACAGATCGCGCTCTCCTTGCAAGCCCTTTATATGCCAAATGGTCTTTTAAATTGATGATGACCATTGACTGCATAAACTTCCTGTCTATTACTCTACTACTGGATGGATACCAAATCATATGCCTTCTGCACTCCACGCGACAACGACGGACAGTTTTTTATAAATTCGCTTAATTCCAATTTGATCGATTGCTTAATTGACTCTAAAGTTTTGTAGGGACACAGGTGCCGTCTGACAAAAGTAAACATATTTTCAACTGGTCAATTGTTTGGTTTTTATATTATTGAATTATTTTTTTTTTTTTTGAATTTAAAGTTTAAGCTACTACTTAATTTAATTGAAATTTATTTCTTTATTTTGTTATGCACATATATATAATTTGAAAAAGGAATGTTGTTTGATGCCAGTATGAATATTTAATCTATAGTGCAGTATAAAATCAAATGTATAAGCTTGTGTAGTCAAAAAGCAGCTGTGAGCATACATAATTTTAGCTTGTTTTAGTTTTATGCAAATCTTCTAGAGAAAAGCTTAATTGGACCAGCTTGGCGCTCAGCTCGATCTCGAAAGACCTGCACTGTAAGATGTCAACATATATATGTATATATGTACGTAGAAACTAGTTTTCCGTATATAAATAAACTTCATTCATTTAAATAGACAAAGGTGCGGAACTCAAACGAATTGCGTTCATAATTAGGCATCGACATATGATTACTTATGGATTTTTTAATACTGACAGGTTTTTTTACTTAAATAACGTAAATATTCCGTACCCAACAATTTAACAAACAGCCATAAAGAAATCTCTGGTTCCAAAAGCTTCGAATATGTGTGTAATTTTCGCAAATGCACTTGGAACTAACTACAAATTATAAACTATAAAAGTATTATATTTGAAAAAAGTGACAACAAAATGAAATCCATAATTCTATGATGGTAAACAAATGAATAATAAAATAATCATAAAGCACGTGTGTTCCCTGATTATATTAATAATTTGCTTTATCGGCTGTAGGCTAGTGACCTTTTTACACTTACACAATCTGTTAGGTTGCTTCTCATAATACGTGTATTTGTATAAAGGCAAAGTTGCAATAATGATACTGCCCAATCGCATTTGATTGTCCAACAACATGTGAACAAATATTTGTGCAGTTAAGCTATGAGAATGGCAGGCCAACCCATTTGTGGACTGGTGCAATGGCAACAACAGGCTGTGCTAAAGCATTAATCGCCAATGCAAGTGTCACAAGTGTCGCCGGCTCAAGGTGAAGTGCATCGCTCAACCGTATTTTGCTGTTTGCACACTTGTTTGCCTGCTTGTCAGTCTTTATAAATGAATACCCTTTTAGTCGCGATTAAGGTCGCTGCGCTGCTGTATATTTGCATTATAAAAGTGTTAATCAATATTTAATTGTGCACTTTTCAGCGCGACCAACAAAATAGTATAATTTTCAATTTAATTTTAAGATTTCGCCCACATATCAATATTAGTATATATAATGCGTATACTCGTATATATAGCCGCGACGTACATATACATATGTATATACATATATAAATATATATACATATATGTGTATGTAATTGGGAATAAGCAAATGCAAAGTGCCAAGTAAATGTATTTGTAAAAATGTATGTGTACAGACGAATGAATATAAGTATGTACAATTCTTAACATCGGGAAATTTCCATTAATACAAAATTATCGTTCGCTTATGGGACAACTTTTAAAAGTAAGAATATTATTCTTTGATTAACATCTTTTCTATTTATTCTGTTATTCATAAATATCTCAACAGAAAGCAAAACGCGTGTCAAATATGTATTTTCGTCTTTCTACTGCCCGGCGTCGAACGCCAAACAAAGCCCGATAAACCAAAGCGTATCCCAAAATAAAGACAAGTAATGTGCTCAACTTTATTTTTGATAAAATTTAATAATAAATTTTGTTAATTTAGGTCGCTGATATTACAATTGATATTATACATGTTTAAATATGTTAATTCGTACTGAAATTCAACATTATTAGCCAATTGTATACAATAACATCTGATAGAGTATGTGCTCAATACGTACCCGGGTGTATGTATGTAAATACGATAAGCATGGGCATATACATAAATTCATACTTTAATGACTTTTAATCTGCAAATGCTGTAACTAGGGCATCTTCTATATGCCCATCTTCGTAACAAAAAACAAATAAAGAAAAAAAAACACTATTTTTGTATATGTATATATAAGTATATTGTATAGTCACAAAAATCGGAATATGAAATGAAAATCATGCAGCATATAAACTAAAATACGTATTATATAAATTATACAAAATATAAGGTTTTTTATTTATACATAACTTTTAAACATAATTATGGCCGAACGTCATTTCACTTTTATTTCAGTTTTATTATTTCTTTCATCTCTCTTGATTTTTTTTTACTTAAATGCTAGCCACATATAACGCTTCTTTTGTCTCTTCTGTCTTTTTATACACAAGCAAAATATTTCTTGATTATACCCAAATCGAATTGTTCGGATTGACCGCCCACATGCTGCAATTTCAACTATGTATATACACCTTTGAAAATTCAACGCTAACTTGTAAAACAAAAGACGCCTACTGCCTACAATTTATTCGTTTAGTAGGCACGTACGTACTAGTGCTCCGCATACGGCATAAGGGTCACAGTTGGAACTGGGACGTCGATCCTCAAAGTACCCCTTTCCAGCCGTCGCCACGCCGCGCGGCACCCGTACACTGACGGCACGGTTAGCAACACCCCATGAGAACTTGTCGATGCTGGAAGTCTCCAATCGGCCAACCAGACGACGCTCGTTGTCCTTGCCCTCCTTGGGGTCGTATGCCTTGATGTGGCGCTGGTGCTGTTTGCTCAGCTTCTCTATGGCCTCCTCGATGGCCTTCATGCCCCCATCGGCACGCATGGCCTTTGTGGAGAAATTTGTGTGAGCACCTGCACCGTTCCACTGACCCTCCATTGGCTTTGGATCGAATGTTACAACAACGCCGTACTCCTCAGCTATACGCTGCAGGATATAGCGCGACACCCAGAGATCATCGCTAGCTTTCATGCCGTTGCTGGGGCCGACCTGGTACTCCCACTGTGCTGGCATTACCTCTGCGTTGGTGCCGGCAAAGTCGATTCCAGCGTAAAGGCAGGCTATAGCGTGAGCTTCAACGAGATCGCGGGCATATACCCGGTCGGCTCCCACGCCACAGTAGTAGGGTCCCTGTGGGGCCGGAAAGCCGTTGTCGGGCCAACCAAAGGGACGCCCATCCACATCGAGTAACGTGTATTCCTGCTCAATACCAAACCAGGGCTCCTGGTCACCAATTTTGTTAACAGCATCCTGAAAGGCAGCGCGCTTATTTGAGGGCGTGGGCTTTCCGTCAGCACTGTAGGTGTCACACATGACGATAATATCGTTTTTGCCTGGCTTAAAAGGATCGCGATAGACCGCTCTAGGCTTAAGCGTTGTGTCCGAGTTTTCACCCTGTGCCTGATAAGTAGAGCTACCATCATACTGCCAGTCGGGCAGATCCTCCACCGAGCTAGGCACTTTATCAAGTACGCGATCCTTCAGACGAATATTCTCGCCTGTTCCATCGATCCACAGATATGTAGCTTGTACTCGGTTTGCAGGCGTTTCAAGGTTTCGATAACGCTGGAGAATGCTCTTGTCCAGCGCCGTGTTGGGCGAGTTGCTTAGAAACTGAGCCTTGGCGACGTTCGAGGTACGCATCAGGCGCAGCTGCTGTGCTGCCGAGGCGGCCAGCTCCTTTTTCAGGAAGAGTCCAGCAACACGGAATGCCATAGCGATGCTTGGGTATGAGTGAAGAAAAGGATACGTTTACTTTTGTATTGAGCTAATCTGAGAGCACTGTGTGTTTGTATGTATATGTGTATACAAAAAGTTCAAGGATAATAGATGTGAGGTACTTGCGCAAGAGATGTCATCTCAATGTTAAATTTTAAATTTGATTTGTCTGAAGTTGTATTTAACTTCTATTGATATGCACAAAATTTTGCTCAAACTTTATACACTCATGCGTATTCATGTATGCCCGCATATATATGTATTACAGCTGCATTTACTTTTGTTTCGCTCAACTTACATTTACACTAATTGCACTATACTGTTATATGTATATATGTATTGTTTTCTTGTTTTTTTTTTATTAATTTCGTTCTCCTCTTGGTAGCCTTCGCGAAACTTGCGCGCTGTTTTATCAGTTGCGGAGCGACTGCTTGGGACGCCCAACCTATACGAAGTTAGGAAGGTTTGTGAATACAATTCACGACACAACATTCACTTTTCTCGTTTGGCTCGCCAGTCTCGATTTTTCTTTATCGCATTTTCAGCCGACGGCGCGACGAAGGCAACAGCGCAGAGGCATCGGCAGTGTCGACGCGTCCTACAGTGATACCAACGCGAACGTGTCCAAAACATACACAGCCCATGGGCAGAAGAGGGAGACAGAAATCAAGAGGGGAAAAGAGACAAAAGTGGGCGCCCACATGCAAGCGCTATCACTGTCTCTGAGAGCAAGCGAGTGACACTAATGACGCATTAAGACTGCCAGCCTAACGTTTCTTTAACGAATCCGATAATATCATCCAGTTGTTGTGGTTGTTCAGCCATTACTAAGTATAAATATATATTTAAATACTTAGCTTGGGCTTTAAATAATAAATTATACTTTTTATCATACATATGTATATATTTTTATATTACGCGCGCTCACTGTAGAAACTAGTCTGGAGAAACCAAAAATGTAAACAACAAGAGAGCAATAATATACTTGCAGTTCACAATGCGCAGACTCTCGCTCATTGTATGCTTCAGTTAAACAGAGACAAAACTACCCAGGCACCCAAATTCCCTTATTTATCAGGGTAGTATCGCTATCAGGTTGTTTGACCTCCACCAAGCTATAAACATTGTTTCGGGTCATACAACTGCAACAGGGCAATAATTGCCTGCTGATATTTGAAATGGCACATGCGCTCTTTTAAATAGAGAAAGACCCATGTCTCTTCGCACTGCTGGTCCAAAGTTCATTATCTGTTTTTTTTTTCCGCCTGATACATATTAGTGCTGTGCCAACATACGAAATTTTAAATGTACAGATGTATGTACATATATAAATATATGCGTATGTATGTACTTATTAAGAACACCGGCAGCTCTACCGGCTCTTCATGTTGTGCTTCCTTGTGAGTGAAACTGTAAGCTCTGTATGTTAAGAACTTTCACAATTATGCACAGTAAACACCTGCTAAGTGGAACCATTACGGATTAAAATGTTATTATATTTATAAAGCAATTCTTTACAAAGAAGAAACAGTACAGTTTATATGTACATATGTATATATGTGCACGTAAAGCATTTTAAAGCTTTTATGCCAAAGAAACCAATTTTTTTCTTTGCAGCCTAAATTTCTACTTTTTATTTCAGTCAATTTTTTCTGAAACAATTTTTTGTGTCGGCCCATAAGTAGGCAAGGTTTAAGCAGTCTTCAAAAACATATGTTTTTATTCCCATATAAAGCAACACATTCGTACTTACACAAATGCCTGAAAATCAAGATATTGCGATTTACCGAAAACCAGCTTCCGTGGCCTTTGCTAAGCCAGCAGATGTTGCTAGCAGAATATCTATTGCTGTACATTGTTTACATGTTATCATTTCATACATTCACAGCCATGTAAAAGCTTGTTTTTTGTTGCTAGCAGAAAATGTATTGCTGTACATTGTTCATATGTAAGCGTTGCCTATATACATACATACATGGATATATAACAGCATGTTTTTTATTGCTGTACTTGTATATTCGTTACAGTGTTCGCTTGACGTAATTTTGGCTAAGCTTTAAGTTGGTAGTGCGCACACAGACTAAGGCGCTTTCTTCTGCATGTATTAGTACAGTTTTCCACCATAGCGTGCGAAAGTGTGTGTGTTTGCAACTGCCTCACAGCTCGTAGTCACAATGCGTTTCCAGTTGTGTGGCATCGTTTCCAGTGGCTGTCGGCTTGAAGTTTTCTTTCGCAACATACCAAATAAGTTAGGGCTGTTGAAAAGTGCAAAGATTTTTTAATCAATTGCGACTTAAGATACTTGACAATTTTAACATCAAGTACATAAGCGCAGACAACAACCAAAAATTGGAGCCAAGTATAAAAATTGGGTTGATTTGGCACTTTGATTCGAATTGCCACTTGTTGCTTCAAGGGTCTCAGACAATAAAACAATTGTATACAATGTACATTCACAATGTACTCTAAACTGATTCGTATTTTTTGTTTTCATTTTCGACGAAACTATGGATATTAATAAGTGGGAACAGTTTTTGGAAAATAATAACTTGTGAGTAATAATCCGTCTACCCATACGATAACAAGTTTTTTTTTAATTATACGAATAATATAATACGTTTTTACGACGCCTTGACATTTATACTAAGGTTATTTTAAGTTCAGATATCAGAAATTATACTGATTTACTTAAACCTTATTTAAGCTTGAAAATCACACATTGGAAAACAAACGCCATGTCATCCCAATAGGAAACAATATTTTATTCGTAAAAAACTCAGTACTTTGCATAACTGGAAATACCAATTACTCACTCGCTTTTCATTTGTATGGACTCTGTACGAATAACACGAATAGAAACAAATCTAGCGTCAAATATGGTTGAGCTTGGAAAATTGTTGTCATGGAAGTCTTAACAAGAGAAACCGGTTAGTTTTAGTTGCATTTTGCAATAACTGCACCGCACGGCAAAATATCACCCGACTATTTCATATATCGGGCAACTACAACATTTTATGGAATTCGCATAAAATTTGTACTTTCCCTGATTGCAAGTCAATTAAATCAAGTTCATTTCTGGAAACCTTAACAAATATAAAGTGTATGTTAAAAAAATGTGTCTTGTATATGAATGAATATGTTGGTAATCACAGGTGCCCATGTCAGTATATGTATCCTGTTTAACTGTTAAACAAAATATATACAATATTCAGCAAAAGCGAGAATAAATTATGGACAAAAAAAAAAGTATAAGAAATATATATAGCAACAGTTAGTTACTACAATTATAATTGTTACCATATAAGAATCATAAAATAATGATACCATAAATAGCTAACTATTTACCTTATCTACTGTATCCAATTATCAATTATCAAACCCAACACATTCTGGAATGAAACTTGTTGGTAACCGCACCGATGATAAAAAAAGCAAAGTCCATTATTGGCGTTTACTATTATATGACAACAAATACATACACATACATATGTATTACGTATTAGATCAAGATAGAGCACTATATTTTCTTGTTAGTTCAGTACTTCACGGATCTTTATAGTTATCTGATTTTAAGCGAATAAATATACAAGTTTCATTAATATAGCCTCTCAGCTAAGAGATTCTATTTCATAGAAGCAGTTTGCTTAATGAGTAATTATCCACCGTTGAAGAGCCAAACTTTTATTAATTGAAAGACGCGGACTTTGCTCATAATTGATAAGCAACTTCCATGTCAAGAATACAACACACAACGTTTTAAAACAAAAGTCGATTTTGTATCAAATTATCAGTGTCCAAACATATGTATATATTACCAGGCCATATACATATGTAGAAATGTACATATAACTATATACATAGTTATCTCTGTATACCGATGTTCGAAACGTGTAATAAATTTTTATTGAGTTTAGTTGATAACCAAATTTATTAATCTACAATTTACCAACCGTCACAGCAGGTTGAGAAATAGAGGTATATATATGTTTATAAGCATGATACCTGAATAATAAAATAAAATATTCTTTATTAATCAAATGTAGACTTGTCCTTCAAAAAGATGGGTTTTAGCAATTAAAAAGTTTTCCAACAAATACATATAAATAATACAGCCATAAAATATAAAATACTCATATGTTCATAAAGCTGAATAACTACATACATATGTGCATGAGTATTTCTACATATATACATATATGATAGGGTTTTATATATATGACATGAAAAAGTAATGCAATGTATACAAATTCTCTGAGAACCGATCAATTCAGCGCTGAGAATTTTCCACACGCGCAATGAATGGCTCTCATAAAATTGAGAGTAGAACTCTGACTGACTATTGCCATCGCGTTTCCTCCCCAAGCTAAATCATTGTCGTAAGCAGTGGAGCTGCCCGACTGGATGAGTCGTTGCCGTGAGCAGTTGTGGCGGTGGTGAGTGCTCAGTCGCTCGCATTTTGGCTTTGTTCCATTACGTCGACTGCGAAACATTCAGTTGCGATCGCGGCGTGAGCGCGTTAGGTACTAGAAATTCAAGAAGCATAAGTCATTTTCACAAACGGGTGGAAAATTTTCTATAGCGACCCCCATGTTAATGGTGGTTGAAACGCAAAAGAGCAAAAGGGCCGTATTAAAAACCCTTTGCCAATAGTGGTGCAAGAATATACATAATAAATTATTTTTATCAAAAGCTATAAGCACAAAAATTCTTATAAAACACCAAAATATATATTTCGGTTCGCCGAATAAAAGTGCTACGTGAGACTGCGATTTGCAGTTTCAAGAAGAAAAATATACATAGTTCTTTGTTAACATAAAAAACGTCAAGATGGTAGCGAACGAAAATAAAAATCTATTAAACGATAACAGATTGGGCGTTAGTGGAAATGGTGGCGCTGGACAACTTAAAGCACAAATCGTGCCCGCGCAGCCCAAGACTCTGCAGCATTTGCCGAAGCGACCACCCGTGGACCTGGCGTTTCATAATTTGACATATCGCGTCAAGGAGGGCAACCGAAGCAGTAAGTACTCATTCAGACTCAATGCACCGAAGATTACCCATTGACATTCAACAGTGTTGCGCTCATACAGTCACAATTACAGTCGTAGTTACAAAAACAAAAGGGTATAATGAGCAGTACTCGGCTGCAGCTGTTTTGCTTCTTGCCTCTGTTATTCTCTATAATTGCAATCCACGTTTATTCAGTGCCTTTACTGGCTTTAGATTTTATTATGCGCTGTGGACTCTCTCGGCACTTCAATCCAGTTTTGCTTTTGCTTTTGCTTTCTGCTGCGCTCTGTGCTTATTTCTGGTTTCTTTGTTCTCATCTATATCAGCAGTTGTCCGGCAGCGTTGCCACATCGAGCTGCGCTGGGCAAAGTTTAATGGAACTTTGGACTTAGTTAGTCGTAGCGCTGTCTAATTACACTCACCTTCCATTTAACGTAAAGATAAAGTACCCTTTGCCCCATTGCAAGCTTCTCATATGAACCCAATAACAATAACAGGCTAACTGCTGTGTTTCGGGCCTCTCAACAAGTAGCTTACAATGCGAATCGTGCCTGCCTATTTCGGCCATATGCTATGTACACATAAGTAGTATGTGTATGCCTGCGTATATACATAGTGGCATGTGTACATAAGCTGGAGCTACGTTAGTGTGGGAGGCATGGTCATGAGCTTTTTGTTGTTAATGACTTGAACGTCTGTCTGGCAAGTTTGTTTTATTTACGCCAATCTAACTAAATAGATCTCCTAGTACACTTTCGTATGTACATTGACATATTAATCAATATATTTCTTTGAAAACATCATTTATACGTAATGCCTTACGCTGGGTGCAGCTGTTTTTGTTCTCAGGTAATCGTAAATCAATTGTGCCATGTGCCATATGCCAAGTATAAAAATATACATTTCGCTCTATTCAATTTGGTTGGAGGGTGTACTGAGTATTCCAATTTCCTACTTTTGCTCCACTTTGAGGATGATAATTCAATTGATTGAATGGGGCAACATGGGGTGCTGGCCTAAGGTGTCCAAAGGCCATTTCAAGTTCGATGTAAGCTTTGGAACGGTGTGTCAGTTAGCATTATAGAAGCACGACGCGCAACGATGCAAACATTGAACTGCCACACTAAATTACTGGTCAACATATGTTTTAAAAAATACTTGTTTTAGCAGGTACTTCTTAATAAGTATATTTACCACCCATTAAATACAAAGGTCAAGAAAGCAACACATTGAAGGTTGTTTACGTACAAATGCCAGTATTTATAAATTCTTGACACACTAACAGAGCTTTAAAATGTCTATGTACGCCGAGTGTTAACTGAAGATACTTGCTTAATGCTTGGCCAAATAAAAACAATAAATTGCCGAACATGGCCGGCATTGAGGCAACCGCATGCAAATTATATTATTTTAAAATAAACATTCAAAATTCTGATCAGTATGTTCTTTAAGAACAATTGCTGATATATTTGTTATTATTCCCCTTGAAGATGTTGCAGTGGCTTTTCATGATAAATACAGATATATCTTTATACGATTGAGCGTGTACATATACTTATAAAAAAATATATATATAAGCTTATAAAAAATGAATACATATTTTTATTAATTAACCTAATCTTAATGCTTGGCATAACTACATCAAGCGTATGACTTATGTACATATGTAGTACCAGTTTTTTCGCAGCTATAGCTGGCTGGCCGACTTTTCCACCTGTAATTTAAGGTAGTCCATTGCGAAAACATTGCGTATTCGTAGTGGTTGTGTGGTCTTCTAAGTGAAGACATTTACTGTCAAGGTTCAGATTGCTGAACTGTGAAACACTTTAAGTAAGCTGTCAAAAGTAATGTTTCGTATTATGACTAAAAGGTTATGTCAGTAACCGGAGTAATACAACTATTTGGTTAGGTTATCTTGAAATACTTGCGAAGTAAAAAAATATGCTGTGCTGTAACTAGATAATTAAAGCCATAATAAAAACCTGGAAACATTTCTAAATTTAACAATATTTATAAATAATGATTAAGATAGTTTCTAAAATTTCAGAGTTAAAAATATCAGTCAATCAATCGAGATGAGTCCAATCCACCGAATACTACCAAATAAATTATAAAAGAAGCTAGCTAAAATTTATAGCAAAGATGGAACAACAATCTATACTTTTGGTCAAAAACAAGTTTGAAACAACGCAAAACAATACTAACCAGTGTCAACAAAACAATCAATTCACTCACAGTGTGTGCACATGCGCATATATACATGTAGGCATGGACTATAGTCTAGAATCTTGCATCTAATTATTATTTAATTTGTTCTTCTTAACAAATCGAATTTAAGTTTGCTTGAATTTATTTTTATTCGCTATTCAAATGATATGCAATTGTCCGATATCTTGCAATTTATGTATATTTCACCTTCACATTCAACTACAAAGAGATAGGCACGTTGTCATCGGCACTTATTCGTCTCAGTTATGGAGGGCAACAAAATAGACAAAGGCCATTGACCGCACAATTGCTTTTTATTGTTTAAGTTTAAACTTTTTTGTATTTCATATAAGACTCGGCTTATTACTGTGTGTCTGAGCAATGCAACGATGAGCTGTATAATATATTGAATATCAACAGCGGTGCAGTGTTATCTATTATATAACTACTTTGTGTTTAATAAATAATAATTTACAAAAATTAATCGTTTTAGATGCCAAAACCATTCTCAAGGGTGTCAGCGGCCGTTTGCGCTCAGGAGAACTTACGGCCATTATGGGACCATCCGGCGCTGGAAAGAGTACATTGCTCAACATTTTGTCGGGCTACAAGTGAGTTGCTAATTGATAGTTTAACATAGTGTTCTTATCGGCCTTATGGTTAAAGCTTTTGGATTCGCAGTTATGCGCATATTTCCATTTTAAATTCATTAACATCTCAAATGAGTATCCAAAGTATAACGAAGTATACCGTAGCAAAGCAAACGTTGCATTCCTTCACTAATAAGTTCGACACCATCAATATTTTATTGAAAATAAATTTATTGTTACGCATATAATTAATTTACGGACCCTATTTACTTTATAAGTAATAGCCGTGAAACAATATGACCGGCTCGCTCGATTGCGATAAGCTTATGTTTCCGGTATGATATCGGAATAATTTTCTATTATCATTTCAAAGGCATATCTACAGGTATACATAATACATGTATGTGGTTATTGATCTAAGCGCTTATACCAAATTCTACCACGTTGCTGAACTTTGGACCAACCTTGCACGTGTGTATGTACACATACGTGTGTATATATGTGCATATGCAAGCATGTATGACCATATGGGTGCCTCACGTTTGCTTTCTTTATATGCGCGAGTTGAATCGCACAAGCGATAAGTTCTACGTGGGCATACTTTATTTACTTGTAAACAAGTATTTTTTAAGCACCTTCTATGTATATATGTACATGTATACTTAATATATTTTTACAATTTTTTATATTTTTCAGAACTTCAAATATCGAAGGTAGCGTTACCATGAATGGTTCAGAACGAAACCTGAGCTTATTTCGTAAATTGTCCGCATACATTATGCAGGATAATCAACTGCACGGAAACTTAAGTGTTCAGGAAGCGATGACAGTGGCAACCAATTTGAAGTTGAGCAAAAAGTTCACGAAATTTGAAAAGAATTCAATGGTAAATAAAAAATAAAAGTAAAAGAAAAGTAAAAGTACGAATAATGTACCCTATATGCACCGAGCATGGATACGCCGTACCTATAAAAAAGATTATTAACCAATTTATATCATAGTCTAGTTTTTAGAAGAATTCATTTTTATACATACTTTTCTGAACATCCCTAATAACGACGTCGATTTACTGGTGGGTCTGTGTGTCTGCTTTTATTGGCGTCAAAATTGGAAATTATCATTCTCAACTATTTTATTTTGACCTATAGTTACTCCCAGGGAACACATTCGTTTTTTTTTCTGCAAGCGACACTTCGCAAAAAATCAATCTTCTAACAATGTATAATTTACAGATTGATGACATTCTTTTGACTCTAAGCTTGAGTGAACATCGCAACACGATGACGCGCAATCTGTCAGGAGGGCAAAAGAAACGATTATCGATCGCACTTGAGCTGGTTAGCAATCCGCCGATTATGTTTTTTGATGAGCCCACCTCTGGACTGGACAGCTCGACATGTTTCCAATGCATTCATCTATTGAAAATGTTGGCTGCCGGCGGACGTACTGTCATCTGTACCATACATCAGCCGTCCGCTCGACTATTCGAAATGTTTGATCAGCTTTACACACTTGCTGATGGGCAGTGCGTGTATCAAGGTAGCACTAAGCAACTAGTGCCTTTTCTATCTACGCTGAGCCTCGAGTGCCCCAGTTACCACAACCCAGCGAGCTATGTAATAGAGGTGTCCTGCGGAGAGCATGGTGATCACATACGCAAGCTGGTTGATGCCATTGACAATGGCAAACGGGACATTCGCTCGTCGGCAGACTATGCTGGTCTTAAGGCACGCAACGATCTGGTGAAAGTGCAAAATCTGAAAGCTATTTTGGATAAAAACGATCTGTCCAACGTTAGTGGCAGCAAGTACGAGGACAACCTCACGCTGAACAACGGTTTGCTCAATGGAATGGTTAATGACATTGTAAAGGAAACTAATGGTCTAGGGGCGCAAGCTGTGGTGACCACCAACGAGAAAGGCGATGCTATGATTGATGTGGAAAAGACAGACAATTGCACCGCCGCGCTACTTTCAGAGGAGATTTTGTCGCCCGAGCGCTATCCAACATCACAATTTCATCAGTTTTGGGTAGTTCTAAAGAGGACCTTGCTTTTTAGTTACCGTGACTGGGTAGGTTATCAAAATCAAGCCGGAAGTCGCGTTCCTTAATACCAAAGCTAACTGTTGGCCTTTTTTTCAGACTTTGATGTACTTGCGCTTATTTGCCCACCTCCTGGTTGGTTTTCTAATTGGAGCTCTCTACTATGATATTGGTAACGATGGCGCTAAGGTACTAAGTAATTTGGGCTTTCTGTTTTTCAACATGTTGTTTTTGATGTACACATCTATGACCATAACGATTTTATCATGTAAGTCTTTGAACTCTTAAGTCATGTAAAAAGTTAACCACAATATTTAACATTCACAGTCCCTCTTGAAATGCCAGTATTGCTAAAGGAGAATTTTAATCGCTGGTATTCTCTGAAATCATATTATTTAGCTATATCAGTTGCAGATCTACCATTCCAGGTATATATTTCTTTTAATATTTATTTGACTTATAACATTCTCCTATTCAATTTTATTATAGGCGATTTTCTGTGTCATCTACGTATCAATCGTATACTACTTTACCTCACAGCCCTGGGAAATTTTCCGTTTCTCCATGTTCTTATCAGCTTGTCTTCTAATTTCGTTCGTGGCCCAGTCTGTTGGCCTGGTCGTCGGCGCTGCAATGAACGTACAAAACGGTGTCTTCCTGGCGCCTGTCATGTCGGTACCATTCCTACTCTTCTCTGGGTTCTTTGTTTCGTTCGATGCAATTCCAGTTTATTTACGTTGGATCACATACCTTTCATATATACGTTACGGTTTCGAGGGCACAGCTTTGGCCACCTATGGCTATGGACGTGAGAAACTAAAGTGCTTCCAAACGTATTGTCATTTTAAATCGCCCCTAACTACCTTGGAGGAGTTGGACATGGTCAATGCGAATTTTACACTTGATATTGTTGCATTAGTTGTAATATTTGTAGTGCTGCGGGTTTCGGCCTATCTCTTCTTACGCTGGAAGCTTAAGACTACTCGCTAACTATTTTAATATATTGCTGTGTTTGGGTTTAAAAGCTTTCTGTGTATGTACCCCGATGTATCTATTAATATATCACTATTTGTTTTTAGATCCCCGAAACGTTAAGTTTCTGTATAATTGTTTAAATTACACTAAAAAAAAAAAAACAATTTTTAATTTAAGTGTGATGGGACCACAAATATAGGTTTCACTGTGATCTGTATTTCAGCTCCAGATAAAACATACAAATTATAGCAATTTATAAAAAAAACTGCAAACTGCATAAAATGCGTAGAGCACCCAACGGCGAAATAATTTTGGGTTTTGGTAAAGTGAATTATAAATCAAAATTTTAAGATACACCAAAGTATCATTTGTAATACCACATACAAATATGAAACACATCAAAATATGAATCCTAAAAATGAAACAAATATTTTAAAGCCATTTTTTCACGAACAAATGTTACTTATAAATGTTATTAAAACCTTTTGAAAATTGTATATTGAATATATTTTGTAATAAAGTTTAATGACATTTTAAGAAGAAGAAAAATTAGTACTACCCCTTCTTTTACAATCCTGAAAATTATCCAATTTATATTTCAATCTACTTTTAACCAATAACAGTAACAATACAATTTTTATACCCTGAACCCATTAAAAATGGTTTTGTTCCCGGCATTCGATAACTTACTCCGTTTCCAAGCAATTAAGTAAAATCGATATCAACATCTGTTTATTGAGCAAATTATGTAAATAATAAGAGCTTGCGTCACCAAACATGATATGTTGCTTCTAGAATAGTATATATATGACAAGTATCTTTCATTTTACACACATCGCCAACTCCCCGCTACCACCCCAGAGCTATAAATTAAGTTAATAACCCAACTTTTATTGCCAACCAATTTATGCCACTATTATAAATGCTATTGGAATAAGAGGGCTCAGGGTATTCCCTAGTCGGGAGCTCCCGAGGCTAATACGATTCGCAGCCTAACACTATTTTGGTCGTAAATAGTTTATACTATATAACATTTTTTAAGAAAATAAAATTTGTTTTTAAATTATCGAAAAATATCTTATTAGTCTCCACATTTATATATGGATTGAATAGAACAATAAAATCTTTAATAAATGATTTTATAAACATATAAATTGCTGGCATTCAAATGAATGTATTTTAAAAGCGATTCTTTGTTGCTAATTTTACTGTCAAATTTTATACCAAAATATGACACAAAATATTGGCATTAAAATCCACCTTGAAATCAGCAATAACTTAGATAAAACCAACATCTCATACTGAGTATATATTTCTATATTTAATTTTCTCTTTAAATATCGCTTCTATACCAAATTTGGTTTACTGTTATCATTAACGTGTGCGTTAATTGTTTTTGCAGCTTTTCACAAATGTCCTCAAAAAAATTAAAAATATAACTGTTCGTTATGTAGATCGTCCTAGGTTTCAAAGCCTTCAACTTTATCAAGACTAAACCCATTTTAAAAATGTTTATCCTAAATTGACCTATAGATTAATTTAATGCTTAATTTTTTAGAACAAAAAGCCACAAGCTACTAAAAAAAAAGATAAAAAACGTACAATTTTTCGTTTGATCGACTGGAAATATTAATAAAACAGCAAAATAAAAAGTGATATTACAAAAAAATTAACTTGTTAAGCTCGTAAGTCCATTTAAAGAACTGTCATGTCTTTGGACGCTAACAAATTGGTCAAAAGTGAACCGATTTACATTGCACATGGTGTTTCTTCTAAATTAGTATAATGTTAGATTTTCTAGAGGCAGGTCTGGCGGGTTTGGCTTGATTTGGTAAAAACGGCAATGTGACAGGCCTATGTATATGCAATGTGTATGTATTATGTGGTTATAAAAATGTATATAAAAACGGCAACAGGCACAATTGTTGTGACTGGTTGTGTTATTTGTTGGTCGGCTCTGTTAAATAACTACATATATGTTCTGTTTCTGGAAATCTGTTGTGAAACATTTTTGCAAATTTAATTAAATTGGTTACCAATTTATTTAAAATTTTAAGAACAATTTTCCAGTTTTCTTTAAATACTGAGATCTCTTTTTCATTAAGGGGTGAGGTAAAATATTTGTAAAGAAAAGACTAGATAAAGCTCTGGTAAGTAAAATGGAAATTGTTTACTCCAGTCACGGGTATTCTCAGTTTACCTCTCGGTATAAAAATATGTACCCGTTTCGTTTTGCCGCCATTTCAGAGTTGCTAGGCAACCGCTTTTTGAATGTTGCCAAACAAAGCTGGAAACACGATGAGTCGACAGTAAGAGCGAGACCAACAGGCACAAGTAATCCGGACTAATCAACTTAAAGATACTCTGTGTAATGGTAGCACACATTCGAAATCTCTAGCGTGTATTTAATTTTATATATATTATATATTTTACAAGCCAAGTCACAGATACTAGCAAATAATCTTTAGAACAACTTTATTATTTATTATATGGTTGTTTTTATTTAGAGTCTCGCGGTATATTTAATTTGAAATATAATTGACCTTTGTTTAGCTTGCTTTGAGTATGGAATTTAGGATCTAGTTTAAAGAACTAGAGGTCTAATAGGTTAAGGATTCATTTCTCACGATTTCATTCCCATATACAGAAGAACTTTGTACTGTCGTTGAAATCTCTTTTATACTTACACAAAACAGTTATTTCCAGAAATAGGTTATTAAGGAGGGCAACACATTTTTAACGACATCATTATCATCATCATTTTCAGTTTTACACTACGAAACATATTGCGGTAGGTCGCACTTAAAACAGTGCTGATCCAGAAAAGAACGCTTACCAAACATTTCACAGAAGATCAGACTTCTGAGATCAAAGAAAGACATTTTTGCCCTGTTCATATTCCCATGCACAGTTTCTTAAAGCCAGATCCTGAAAAGTGCCCATTCACGTTTAGCTAAAAATAGACTGGATTCCCAACTGTAATAAAAGTTAAGACGCTTCTCTCCTCCTAGAAGAATTCTTTTAGTATTTTCTTTGTCTGCTGCGCACTTTGTAGCGTTGCGTGCTCTCATACTGAGTGCGCAACACGCTTTCGTGTGCGTGCAATACAAATGCATTTTTACATATGCATATATGTGTGTGTGTACACACGTCAATGTATGCGTGTCTAGTGTGCTTGCCTGTCGGCCCGCTGCCACTCTATCATTCTTCCTTCATTTGTTTTCAGTACATTTTCGTTTCTCGGTGCAACAAGTCGTTGCTGTCGCCGCCGTTGTCGTCGTCGTTGTTGCATGCATATATACATATGTATGTACATCACGCCCGCTACACTAATGTTAAGAGAGTGAAAACCCACAGCAATAGCATATACAAACCCAAATAGAAAGTGGAGTAAGTGCAGTGCGGCTTTAAGCCTTCGCCGGCAAACCTTGTAATATCCAAGTAAAATAGCACTCACGGGTTCACCGTATTTCAAATCCGTTCAATGAACCTGCCAGTCGACGACGTACATAAATCATTTGTCGTTGTAATCGTATGTATATTAATACAATTGTATACTACGGAATTTGCACCATTTCTTCTTATGCATATGTATATATAGAATGTAATAGTTTTATATATATTCAGATACACATGCAAATGTGTAAAAAGTAAACATGATTTTATTATTTTAAATGCAAGTCAGTAAGCAGGTAAATGGTTGCACCCATAATCAGAGAATACAAATTATTTATTGGGAATCCGAAGGGATAGTCAACACTCCCCGGTTCACTGAACACGCATGCACCATTAGTCACACTGTGATTAATAAAAATATAATGGAAATAACAAAATACTCAACAATTTTCAATTTCCCAGAGGGCATTTAGATTAGTAAGTCTATATACACGCTTAAAAATGATATGAATATGTATGTAATAGGTAAGTGTATGGGACAGTGCAATGGTCAGACGCTTAATTTAATTCCAATCGACTTTGCATTGCAATACATGTAGTACGAATGTACGTAATGTGGAATATTGCCAAAATGCCACATATGTACCTATATATAGTTTTATTTGGGTTATGTACACAGTTGTGTATATAGTTTCTTATCAAAAAGTTCAGCTTTAAAGGCACAGATAAACTAATTAAATAGGTATTGTATTACATATTGTTCAATGCACACGCATTGTGCACTCGACACATACAAAGCATGTGGTACCACTTAGTGCCACAGATCTAAATACAATTTCCGATGTAGATAAATGCTGTTTGATAATTGATGCTACTCCTATATGGTCCCACAACTTATCTGAAGCTCGCACAGCGTAACGTGATGATTGCAAAGCTCTAAGCAAGTACTCATTTTTTGTTTCGTTGACGCGAATTGAATCACTCACTAGAAAGTTCTGACCAGCGATTGCCCGTTTGCATATGCCTCGAGACATAATCAGCACAGATAGCACAGAATTTATTTAACAAGCTCAGTTCAGTGAAAAAATTGCTCGAAGAAAGCTTCTACTATGTGTCCCATCTGCTGGGCGAGAGAAATGATAATGATTGCTTCTGTTTAATTGAAGCGGCACACAAGAGCAATTTAATTTCCTCATATTTTTGGGTAGCTAGTAAGTTTTGAGCATTGAAACGGAACAGCTGATCTATGTTAAAAGCTTATGTACTGTCCGAGTTGAAATCAAGTAAAGTATTTGTTGTACTCAAATCGAGAACAAAAAAAATGTGCTCTGTACTTAAAAATAACTAACTTTTGTTTAAAAAAAAAAACAACTAGATAGAGTTTGTACCTAATTATTTAATTAAAAAGTTATACAAAAAAAAAAACTAAGCACGACATGCATTTTAAAATGAAATAATAAAATTCGAAGACCAGGATGTGCAAATGAATAGTTGATGCTTAACGCTGTATATTAACCATTATAGCGTTTTGACTATTTAAGTTTAGATGATGTTTAAACACAACAGTGCTAATATATGCATTAATTTATGATTGATCATTAGACACACTTAAAAAATGTAAATTTGCTGTGATTATCAAACAGCTGCCTATATAAACAATTAAATATTTATTCAAATCCAAGTGATTGCAAAGGTAATGTGTGCCTCGAAATTGCGCAAAGGTTATCATACCGGTTATATTGATCATTTACAACCAGTCTACAAAATTAAACATAAGTTTTTTCAATTGTGAACCTACATTCTTATAAGGAAAACTGTTCGTATAAGAGTCGGAGAGTTATCGCACTATATCTTACAGTTTGCCTGCAAATGGGACAGAGTAATTTCCATTCAACTTAACTATTCATTTTTAATTTCCAACACTTAATTGAGAATGGTTTTTTTAGGACTGCAGTAAACAGGATCCCCAACTAGAATGCAGTTAAATCAATGCGCACAGGGCGCCTCAAGCTCCCAATGCGGTAGTTCACTTAACTACAGTAGTGATATAAATGCCATTAGCGTTGAACTCCCGGACGTAGATGATTATCAATCGGTTAACGGATTAAAGTATTTGCCTGTCTGGCCACAGGTCAACCTGGAGTTTTCAGGGCTTATCTACGAAGTACCTGATCACGGAAATGGTAAGCCTATCATTAAACCAAGGGCCAATGTTATAGTATTAGCTATTACAAATAGAATTAATCTTGAAGTAAACTAGTTTTTTCTCATTGTTCCTGACCTATGATTTTGTATTGTATTTATCCCGTAGCCCACAAAACCAAGCAAATTTTACGCAACGTTAATGGCGAGTTCCGCTCTCACGAGCTTACCGCAATAATGGGACCTTCCGGAGCAGGAAAAACAACACTATTAAATGTACTAGCAGGATTTGGGTAAGACATTAATAGTATTTAATCAAACCCATCACTAAAGTCCTTATTTACAGAGCTGTCAGTTTATCTGGAGAGATTTTGGTCAATAATAGTCCGCGCGACATGCGAATCTTTCGCAAGATGTCTCGTTACATTATGCAGGTATGGACCCTAACTTAAATCTGCGAGACAAATGTGATATTTTCGAATGAATATCGCGCAGACAGATGTTCTCGACCCGAAGTTTACTGTAAGAGAGATGATGCTTTTGGCGGCAAACTTAAAACTGGGAAATGAGTTAAAATTAGCTCAAAAACTTGAAGTGGTGAGCAGATTAACAAGATTTGAGATTCTTCAGCTGTACAATTCTCGTTTGCATATAGATTGATGAAATCTTGGGTATGTTGCGTTTAACACGCGCTCAAAACACGAAGACTGAAAAAATTTCTGGCGGAGAGCGAAAACGGCTTTCAATCGCACTGGAACTGGTGAACAATCCACCTGTAATATTTTTAGATGAGCCAACAACGTATGTTTGATGTTATGTGTGCATTGATTCGCTTTACTAGTCTATTCTGTTTCTTGCAGGGGACTGGACGATCTTTCTAGCTCACAGTGCATAGCGCTTCTCAAAATGTTAGCAGCCGGTGGTCGCACCGTCATCTGCTCCATACATACACCGTCCGCCAAGATTTTTGAAATGTTTGACAAGGTGTATGTACTCGCCGAGGGTCAGTGCATCTACCAAGGCAGTGGAGCCAACATTGTTCCATACATGAACCACCTAGGGCTGTCCTGTCCGCTAACATACAATCCTGCTGACTTTATAATTGAAGTGGCGTGCCACGAGTACGGTAACAATTACCAAGATCGCATGGTGGAAGCCGTGTGCAATGGAAGAGTCGTACGATGGATTCCACCAGGGGAAAATGGTAAAGAAACACCAACAAAATCGGATACAACTTCGGGTGCCTCCTCATACTATGAAATAGACCAATTTGAGGAGGAAATTAATCCAAAGTTACTAACATCCAAGTCCACCTGGTGGATGCAGTACAAATTGCTGCTCACCCGCATAATGCTGCAAATGTGGCGCGACAATGTAAGTAAAGAAGGAATTTATAAAGAACTCTATTTAAGTGAATATTATATCTTTTAGTCGTACATCAAACTGAAATTTTACATGAATATAATTCTGGCGCTAATCGTGGGCGGGCTTTATACGGGAGTGGGAAGTCAAGCTTCAAAGGCTCTATTTAACTTTGGCTTTATGTTCACCATTGTCATAGCCTATTTGTACCTGCCCATGATGCCGGTGCTTTTGCAATGTAAGTCAATATTGTAATTGTATTGTTTACTATTACATTTTAATAATTGTTTGCACTTTCATAATTCCAGTTCCCACCGAAATTAAACTTCTAAAACGCGAATATTTTAATCAGTGGTACCGACTAAGCTCCTACTATGCCGCCATGATTTCTGCCAAATTGCCTTTGATGTTCGTCTTGGCAGTCATCTATTTGGCAATTGTTTACTTAATGTCCAGCCAGCCGCTTGAATGGTTCCGATTCGCCATGCTTTTTACCATAGCATTTCTAACAGCTCTCACCTCCGACAGTTTTGGCCTACTGATATCCAGTAGGCTTAGTTTAGTGGTAAGGTCTACGAATATCCCTATACCTTTTGCTACATCTTACTACATATATCTCCAATATTTAGAATGGCATGTTCATGGGACCGGTTCTTGCTGTTCCTCTTATTTTACTTTCTATATACGGCATGGGCTACGGTAAGGATGCCTACATCTCACCCCTCATGCGGTTTCTTATGTCGCTTAGCTTTCTACGCCATGGTCTAGAGGGCCTAGTGGCAGCTTTATACGACTATGGAAGGGGCGATACAATTTGTGAAGTCGAAGTTTTTTGTATGTTTAAGAAGTCGCAATTTCTTTTGATATTTCTTGGATTTGAGAACATAAACTATTTTTGGTCAGTGAGCTGCTTACTTGGATTCTACGTGACCTTCACAGTTGCTGCATATGTTATGATACGCCATAGGTTAAAAAAATCGGCAGCAAATCCGATGATTGCTTATGTCATGCGGCTTCTGACGGAACATTTTAATTTCACTTCGTATAATTATTAGAGATCGCTTTCGGGAGCAAATTTACATGCCATTTTTTGTAATTAGGATATAAATGTTCGTATAAATTGAACAAAGTAGAGCTTGTGATTAGATTTAAGCGGCCACCAGATGGTCAAATTCTAATTATACAAACTTCGTGACAATGAAATGTGTATGTATAAGATACATGTGCGTCGTTTATTTTTAAGTTATACAAATATATTACTGCACATATATGTAATGTATATAAGGATAAGTAAATTAAATGATTTTTTAGGCAACGGCTTAAAATAAAGATAAGGGTAATACTATAGGTAAAGGCGTGTAATTATTTAAAAAAAAAAAACTTACTTGCTTATTTTGTCGACAGGCTGAACACTGAAATCACACGCGCACAACAATCGAGATGTTTAGATTTAATTATTACGAGAAAATACACTATCGGTAAATTCGCAAACGGACACTAAATTAATAGCTCAGGTATCAGCCGCGTAACCCGTATTATATTTTTTGATCCTGCAACTATTTTCGATCATATTTATTTTCGCTCTTTTTGCACAATTTTTGGGATTTAGCCGCACAACTATTTTTAGGCAAAAAAATTCCAAAAAAAAATGCAAAAAAAAAACACGCTTCACGACAGGCACTGGAATCACACACGCACAACAATCGCGATGTTTAGATTTAATTATTACGTTTAGATCGAGCAAAAACACAATCTGCAAATTCGTAAACGGGCACTAAATTAATAGCAGGTATAAGCCGCGTAAGGTGTGCTATACTTTTTTCCAGCAGCAATTTTCGCTCAAATTTATTGCCGCCTTTTTGACACAATTTTCGGGATAAACGCGCGAAATTAGGAAAAAAAAAAAATGTAATACTTTTTTGTCGACTGGCACTGAAATCACACGCGCACAACAATTAAGACGCTTTGATTTACTTATTACGTTTAGATCGAGCAAAAGCAATATCTTCTAAATTCGTTAACGGACACTAAATTAAAATCAACCGCTTAAGCCGTTTTATATATGAAGATGTAAATTTTATCCCGCAACTATTTTCGATCATTTTTACTGCCGCCTTTTTGGAACTAAGTATTTTCTTTTTACAGCACTATTTTTGAAGACTTGCAATACTAATTGCAGATTGTCGGCAAACTAATTGCTGTGAAACCCAACAGTCGTCAGCTGATTAAGCACGTTCATCATTCGAGTTAGTGATTTTGTATCGGTCAGACATTTGTCACCCATATTAGACAACTCTACTACACTAAAAAGTTTTATTTTTGATTTACCCACTTATAAACTTAAGGTATAACGTCTACTTTCATCCGTATGTTTATATATTCTTTGAAATCACACCGTATATCACGACATTTATATTAAATACATTATATTTGACGGACAATGGCAAAAAAATTTTCTTTTACAGTCCAGTTTTTGGTATAAACCTGTGCCCCCATTTAAGTTTATGGGTAAATATGTTTTTAAATTTGTATATATTAATATTAACATAATTAAACGCAATTTAAAATGTTTTACTTGTATTTTAAAAATATATTTTTGTAAAGGAAAATACAGCAAATACAAAACTTGGTAAGTCTAAGTAATGTACAATTAGGTTGTTTAAAAGATTGGTTAAATACCAACATCGACAAAAGACAACATAGCAATTTACAAACAAATAAGAATGCTCTTTTCAACACATACAATACCCTATGCCCGGGTCTGAACCATCTAAATGTATGTCAATTATAACAGACTTGGCATTTGAATCCGTTGATGATGGCATTCGAAAACTATTACATTTTTTGAACATGGGAAATATCTCCCATTGCCAGTTGTATACAATTGCACCACAATATTAAGTTAAAAACCCGTAAAAGGGGCACAAGGTATTACAATATTCAAAACATGAGAATGGTTACTATTTATATTAATATTTTATACAAGTTTTGAAAACGGATAAGAAAACAGCTTTGATGTGGTAGGTAACATATTGATCAAATAAAACATAAGCTCTCAAATTGGTAATTGAGCTTCTTACTGACAGTAAGTTCATATATGCAATTATGACCCGTACAACTAAATTGTATAAATTGCTGCATACACACAATGCGTATGAACTATAAAGAAAGAGTTTATAGATAAGAAATGAAAGCCTAAAAAGCTGCCAAGCCTATTGCTGGCGCCACTTACTCTTTTAAACTAAAAACTAAAAATTATGTTGCTGTTATTGTTTCTTTTAATGTCCTTAGTTTCTTAGCACACGGTGGCTGTGGCAACGACATTTCGGCATCTAGTCAATTGGTTTCCAAATGTTTTGCCTGCTCCCATGAGAAACCATCACGACCAAAGTGGCCGTACGTGCTGGTGCGCTGGTAAATTGGTTGGCGTAGATTTAGGTCTCTGTGTAGTGAAAAGTGTGGAGTAATTAAAAAATATTGGCATTCTATAACATGTATCATGCACTTACTTGACAATCATGCCGGGCCGTAAGTCAAAGTTGCGCTTGATAATGTCCAGAAGTTCCTTTTGTGACTTGTGGGAGGTGCCGTAGTCAAAAACGGTTATGGAAAGCGGCTCTGCCAAACCAATCGCGTACGAGACCTGCACCAAGCATCGCTTGCAGAGCCCGGCTTTTACCAGCGATTTTGCAACCCAACGCGCTGCGTAAGCCGCTGACCTATCGACCTTTGTGAAATCCTTACCGGAAAATGCACCACCACCATGTGCACCCCAGCCGCCATATGTGTCCACTATGATTTTACGGCCGGTCAAACCAGCGTCACCCATTGGACCGCCAATGACAAACAGTCCACAGGGATTTATGTGCACAATGGTATTGGCATCAAAGTATTTGGCGGGAATGACAACTTTAACTACCTTTTCCATAACCTCCGAGCGAAGAGTGTCCAGCGCAATTTTATCCGAATGCTGCATTGATACAACAATAGTATGCACGCGCTTAGGCACAGCCGATCCCTGGTTAAAGAGATACTCGCAGGTGACTTGTGTCTTAGAATCTGGACGAGCCCACCAGAAGACATCCGATCGTCGCAACTCTGCAATCTTTTCGTTTAGTTTATGTGCCAGCACGACCGTTAGAGGCATGCACTCCTCTGTCTCGTCGGTAGCATAGCCAAACATAATACCCTGTAAACGATTAAAATATCGCGTTAATAATGCAAATGACTATATCACAATGGAAAAAACAATAATCGTTAAACTTTAAGTTAGTACAAGTAAACGACATGTTTTCAAATGAAATATTAAGAAGTAACATGGAAAACAAATTAGAGCATGAAAAAGCTGCAGTGACTATGACCGGAGATCAAATTGCCAACATTTTTGATAAACCAAAGCAAACCATTTACAATCTATGAATATGTTAGTTAATGGCTCATGAAAACTGAATATGAAAAACTCTATTTTATGTCATATACGAGTATAATTTTGGCAAACAAGATAATAAATGTTTTCTGTGCTATGTGAGCGCTTTTGCACTGTATTGCAATTTTCTACAATGCCATATATTGCAATCATAAAATGATTTTCAATGTTATTATAATAATGTACCTTAATAATAATTACACTTATTGTTTTAAAATTAGTCACACATATAAATAAGAAAATACAAAATATGCAACATAGATTGTACATTGTACATGTGACTATTATACTCTTTCCAAAAAAAAAATATGAATCGATTATAATAAGGCTTATTGGAAAGGGTATATAAGGTCGGCTAGCCGAACCTTGCATAATTTGTACTTGTTTTTGGTTCACACCTGGTCTCCGGCACCGATTTCTTCCTCAGGGCGATTAACATGCACACCAGCAGCAATTTCAGGCGATTGTTGATCCAATGCCAAGAGAACGTTGCATGTTTTATAATCGAAACCTTTTTTCGTTTTATAAACCGTTTTCGAATTAAGTATTAAGGTATCAAATATGGTTAATGTATCGTGTTTTTTTTGTTTTATATGAAACGAAAGAGATAAAAAGTAGAGAGCGCAGCACAATTGAAAATACATAAGTAATGGTAAGTAATGTGTTTGTTATGATATAACCCCGTTAATACTATAAATTGTATTCTGTGTATAATTTATGTATATATATTTAAGCAAACACAGCACATTCTGCTTAATATTTGACAAATGAGATATATGTTGGTATGCTGAAAACCTAGTTGAAGAACTGATTTGATTATAGCCACAGTTCACACCTTAGAAATTCCCTGAGATCGAAGACACCGCCCATTGAGGTCTGATTTTATGGGATGCAGCATGCGTTTGGTTATAGTATGTTGTTTCTTAAGTTCCTTTTCGAAAACTTACTTATCTGAATAAAATAAATGGCTTATGTTAAATGAGAAGTTATGTAGTCAGCCCAATCGAAGTGAATTTGATATGATATTTCCCAGTAATCTTCATTACATTTTTCTGAAGAATAATGTCACAAATAATATTCTTTTTTATTTAAGACAAAATGTATCCTCTCACGTAGATCTTGTTTATAGCTTGTTTGAAAACTATTATGAATATTTTCCATTTTGATATGCAAAAATATCTGGAATTTAAAAATGCAATTGCACCTATTGTAGAGAACGATAACAAGAGTATGAGATTCGGGTTGGCCAAGAAACGAGCATAGTAAATATGAGAAACACACGATTTAGAATAACATTAAACGAAATGTAAACATAACAAACAAACGCACACTATTCGGCTTCACTTAGTTGATAATAACGGTACTGATATGCTTTGTTATACCTGGTCACCAGCGCCGACATCCTCTTCTTCGCGATTAATGTGCACGCCGTTGGCAATATCGGGTGATTGTTGTTCAATGGCAACGAGCAGGTTTAACGTCTTCCAATCGAAACCTTTTTAATTTTGGGTTGATGTTTATGGTATTTTTCATTTTAATATAGAATATTCACATGTGCACATAAATACAGAAACAACGCATTGAGCTGTTCCTGGGGCCCACCCGCAAGATTATATATATTCTCAACTTGTATGCCAAGCGCAGAAAACTTACCCTTCGAGGAGTCATCGTAACCAATATGTTGGACCGTCTCACGCACAACCTTTTGATAGTCAACCACTGCCTTGGATGTAATTTCACCGCAGAGCAGAATCATGCCAGTCTTTGCCACCGTTTCTATTTTAAAAATAATTTAAAATAAGATTCGGCGTCTCAAATAATGCAATGTCAGTGGGCTGGCTCAGAGTTAAATAAATCATTAGTTTATTGTTTTACTTCTGTAGTTGGGGACAGCTTAAGATAACTTTTATAAATGCTTATAAGCTGATTAAAACTTTATGCGTTTAATAACTCAGTGCTCCACTAACTTGCATTTATTCAATATTTTTTAATACTTACCACAGGCCACTTTAGCGTTAGGATCTTGTCGTAGATGGGCATCTAGGATGGCATCACTAATTTGATCGCACATTTTGTCTAAAAAATATGATAAAATAATAAATCAACCGATGCTGTTATGTATTTGTAGAATATATATGTGATAAGTATATACGAATTCCCAGACAAAGGCACCGCGACGCCACTTTGGCAGCACCGAGTAGACTCGCCAGCTAAAATTGCCGGACAAAGCAGTTTATTTTCATTTTCATTTTGCGATTGACAGCGAAATTCTATGCCGCGTAAAATTTTAGGGATCAACATGAAGAAAGAAAAACTACACGTGCTTACAAAACGAGCTTGGTTTAATTTTACATTAAGCCATATTCGACGGGAATATATTACTCAAGTAAACAATATTGATAAATCGCCAAGGAAGGAAAAGTGTTTAATCATTTAAATGGCGCATCGTGTTGGATTGGTTCAATAAATATATTATTTAAATACTAATCTACATAAATACATTTTTTTTTTAGCTGAGAGCTTTAGGCGCCCCTTTGTCTTTTTGGGTTCCGGGGGTTGCTGATAACCCCACTTCAAATCAGCGATTGTTTACTAGAATGACAATCAAAAAATGCCTGGAATAAACCGCCTCATCATGTCCGGTGTATGTTGGATGATCCATTTGAGATGTTACAAATTTTACAATACCTAATTTAAATGTCATTAATGTCAGGAAGTACTTTCACTACTGGGACAACGGTTAAGAATACTGATAGCATAGATAAAGTAGCGCATAAACCCATCCATCAATCAGCCAAACGTACAATTTCCATCTTGTATTGATAATATAATTTTTTTGTATCATCTAAATACATACATACATATGGGCATAGTCATAGTTCCCATTTAAGCCAACTTAATTAGTTTCAAAAGTGGTTAGAGCAATCAATGTGTCGCACTAAAGGGTCGGTCGTCCTTATCACTAGGCTGTAGTAATACTACTATAATAGCATACAAAGATTTATATATATATAAACATATGTATATCAACTGGTATTTCTCTTGTATTTCTGAGTTTGTAAATTGGGAATACAAACAAAAATGCAATGTAAAGAACCAATAAATACAGCGAAGCTTGAAACCACGTGGTTCCAAACTTTGCAAATTTGATAAGCTGTGGAAATATAGTGTACGGCTGTTAAATATCATCACCTCTAAAACCAGAATAAAGACAAAATTCCTATATTTTGTACTTTAGTTTACGCACTAACATGTATGTATGTATATTTCAGATGTAATTATATATTGTTGTGTTTATGTAAGTATGTGTAAAATTGTAAAAAAAAAGTACGTTTGCGATTGTTTTGATCGTCATTTGCCGAAAGAGAACCGGTAACTCAAAAGAGTAATAATCAGAAAAAGCACATGGTGCGCATGACGCACTCTGAGTTGTGCTAAGCAATCTATAAAAACATACATACATACGCTCTAACAAACATACAAACATACTGCTCTGCGTATGTATGAATGTAAATTTAACACGTTGCCGGGGCAGCCTCTGTAGCAACAGCACTTCGGACCAAAAATGAGCGACCAGCTGGTAGTTGTTGGGCAAATGATGAAGGCTTACATTGACATTGTTTGTAAGAATTTTAAACACAAATGGTTAAATTAATATGCGTGTGTTGTATATGAGCTCCTAAAACCATGGCTTAGATCGTTAGTAAAATATCACTTATTTGGTATAAGTATATAACATAGAGCTGGTCACACTAACCAATTGCTATTGTTGTTCTGCTGAGTAAACAAGCACGTTTTTCGATAGAATTTTCTACCTACTAAAGCTAATTATATAGAAAAATTAACATCAAACATTGTAGCTACCAAGCAAAGCGATGGACTGGTAGAACAATTGTAATAACACTACCAACATTTTATCAAAACTTGATAAATCAATGTATGATTGTATGTACAAACAATTATGCCTTAAATTGTACCGAAATGTGAATATGTTCAGCAGGAGGTACATAAGTATGTACATACAAATACGTATGTATGTATGTATATGTTATTGAGCATGCCCGCACTGTGTGATGCAATAAGGAGGTCGGAATGGTTAGCTGGCGTCGTCTCTCGTCTGCGATTTGAATGCACTGTAGCTAATTTAAGCCTGCAAAATTATCTATTTGTGTGTGTATATGAACTTACCTGGGTGTCCCTCGCCCACGGATTCGGAAGTAAATAGAAAAGTTTGTCCATCTTCCATATCGTAGGAATTTCCATTGCCATTGCTGCCATTAAAGCCGTTGGCGTTGGTAGCGGTGTGTCCATTGGTCTTTTGCGGCATTTTGAATGAAGCTTGTTATTTATAGTTGGTACTATGTCAAGTGGCTAATGTTGTTACTGTATAAAACAAAATAATCGTTATTTATAAGTGAGAAATTGATTTTCCCAAAACTATCACGAGCAACAAATCTGATGCCAATTGTATACCGCCGCTTGGTGTGTGCATATTTGCCATTTCTTACGAATATTTTTTTTTACATACTCTAATGACAGATTATATTATTGTTATTTTTATATAATCAGCAAACGCATTTTACGGTTTATGCTGTGTTTGATGGCAAGTCACGCACACACGCCACAGCAGCTATACATACTTATGTACATACATGTATATATGTATGAATAAACATACACACCGACAAGCAAGAACTGTTCAATGAAAGTGTATTTAACTGGCTTTCTATGTTTTTTAAAAGAATGGAATTAGAATAAATGATGCAGCCTCTGTGGGCAGTAAGTTGCACTGATTTTTCTTATATTTTAGCCGACGGGCAATCAAATTAGCGCAACTAAAACGCACGTCCTATCTCCGTGACGGTATGGTAGAAAAAGAGCGCACACTTTTCGCCAGCTATAGAATTTATAGCCATGAAGTGGGAGCGAACAACGATGGCGGCGCCGTGTGAGAGCAAACATTCTCTCTTTCCCTCGCAGTGGTAACATGTATGTATGTATGTATGTAAAAATGTATGTAGCTTGTTTTGGCGCTCCTATTTGTAGCTGCTGCCGCACAACTTTCCTACCGTTCTTAAGGTAACTCGAAAGAGCATCTCCACGTTTTTTCTCGGCAGTTCGTAAAAACAGCTGTTTTGCACTGCCGTGGGTGGCTTAGGGTTGCCACTCTGTTTATGTATTTTAAAAACAGAACAACAAAATATACTATTTTAATATGCCAGAACTTACGTCGTAATTTTACTGTTAAGAATTGTAATTTGTTATAACTTTTTACTGTTTTCAATCGCTCGAACAGCTTCTAACTGTGAATTTTTGTTTGAAAATGTATGTTTTTATAAATATTTGTGGCTCAATCCGGAAAGATGATTAGGCGAAATTATGGGCTTATCATTATTAAATCACAAATGGGTTGATGAAATATTAAAACACCCTGGGTAGTTGATTTACCTTTACATAAGCAGCGAGTGAATTCATATGGATAGTAAGTGTCTGTGTGCCCAACGATGTTGAGCATCAAAAATCTCGAAATTTTTTAGAAGTGTACCAACTGGTTTATTTTGTCAGTTAATAAATTAAAGATCTATTTCTAAGAACTATATCAATCGACAATTTTGAATATACACGAGCCTTTTAAAAAAAAGATGCGTCACTAACATGCGCCCGACAACAATTTCGGTATTTTAAAATAACAAAGAACCATAGAGAGATCGTGTCATGCTAATCACAAACAAGGTCGCCCAAGATCAAGGCGATCGGTAATCTGCTTTCTGCATAATAAATACAAAAATCTATTGAAAATAGCTGAAATAACAAGCCTCATTATCTTTCAAATGATGTTGACCCCCAGGATAGATTTGTTGGTTGCGCGCAAACAAATCTAACTTTCATTTGTAGAAATGTTAATGGCTTAAAATAATACAGAATTCCTAATTATTTGGACAACGCGTTCTTTAACTAATTGCTTACAACTTTCATCACTATCTAAGCCTTGAACCACGGGATGAGATATATGGCCTTATCGATATATGGCTTTAAGCGAGTGCTTTAGACCAATATTATTCGTTATTTCAGGCATACCCTTGTTACGATGCCCAAAACCAGTGTGGTAAAGTAACAGGCCATTGATAAAACAGCTGTTCATGACGTGTTTGTGGTTCGTTAACATAAGAAAAAAATCGCAGCAATTCGCTTGCACTGTGTCCTTTTAGTTAAAAATGAAGGGGAAATTGATGGCGCTATGGGCAATAGCCATAATCATTTTCTTAACACAACAAACGTCAGCATTAGACGTACCAAATGACATCGCAGCTGCGGGGAAGAGTATCGAGAAAATAGTTGACACATCGCAGAACAACAGTACGGTAGTTAATGGAACTATTGTAAATATAAGTAACAGGACGACTTATGATAGCAACCTCAGCGCCAGCTTGACGCCAGTTGAATTGAGCTCATATACAGTCGGGCCACCAAATGTGAATGTATCAAAAAACGCGACCACGACAGTCACGGAGCCATCGTTAATTGATCCACACGCCGTTGAGCAGGAGCACAATTCCTCGCTATCGTTATTCTTTGTTATTTGTGTTATTATGCTGGGAATACTTTTGATACACTCGATGCTTCAGACTGGCTTTCAATATTTGCCGGAGTCCATTGTGGTGGTGTTTTTAGGTGCACTCATTGGCCTTTCACTAAATGTAATGTCTGGCGAAAATGGCAGCTGGAAACGAGAGGAGGTCTTTTCACCGACGGGCTTCTTCCTCGTTCTTTTGCCGCCTATTATATTTGAGTCTGGATACAATTTACACAAAGGCAACTTTTTCCAAAACATTGGCTCTATACTGGTCTTTGCAATTTTTGGCACAACTATATCTGCCCTGGTGATTGGCGCAGGCATATACTTGTTGGGAATGGCCGAGGTAGCCTATCGGTGCGTATGTAATGTCACTAATGAGCATATGGTCTTATAATTGCTTTTTTTGCTCCTAGGCTCAATTTTTCAGAATCATTCGCATTTGGTTCCCTTATCTCGGCGGTGGATCCCGTGGCCACGGTAGCTATCTTTCATGCCCTCGATGTAGACCCAATTTTGAACATGTTGGTTTTTGGTGAAAGCATTCTTAATGATGCCATATCAATTGTATTGACGGCATCCATAACCATTAACGCCAATGCTGACGCAGGCACGGGCGAGGCAATGATGAGCGCGCTAAAAACATTCTGCGAGATGTTTTTCGCTTCAGCTGGTATAGGTGTAATCTTCGCTCTTATATCGGCATTACTTCTGAAACACATCGATCTGCGCAAACATCCTTCATTAGAGTTCGCTATAATGTTAATGTTTACATATGCACCTTACGTTTTAGCCGAAGGTATACATTTGAGTGGGATCATGGCTATACTCTTTTGTGGAATCGTTATGTCACATTACACGCATTTCAATTTGTCGACTGTCACTCAGATTACTATGCAGCAGACGATGCGAACATTGGCCTTTATAGCAGAGACATGCGTATTTGCCTACCTGGGACTGGCAATTTTTTCATTCAAGCACCAAGTGGAATTGTCCTTCGTCATATGGTCGATTGTGCTCTGCCTGATCGGACGTGCCTGCAACATTTTTCCGCTGGCTTATTTGGTGAATAAGTTTCGTGAACACAAAATTAACAATAAGATGCAGTTTATTATGTGGTTCTCGGGTCTGCGAGGTGCTATTTCCTATGCACTGTCTCTGCATTTACATCTGGATAGTCAGGAGAAACGGCACGTCATTATTACTACTACGCTGATCATAGTTCTCTTTACAACGCTCGTTTTGGGAGGCTCAACTATGCCGCTACTAAAATACCTGAAGCCTGGTAAAAAACGCCGAACACGTGGATCTGTACGCTCCTCAGACGGCAGCTCGCACAGCACACATCGGAAGCGCAGCAAGTCAATATCTCTATCTAAGACTCGAGAGTGGGGACAGGCAATCGATTCAGAGCACTTGTCCGAACTGACAGAGGAGGAGGATGTCTCATTTACGCAAGCACGTGATCGCTTCGGCCGTTTGGACCGCAAGTATTTTATACCCTTTTTCACACGTCGCTTCAACAGCCAGGAGCTTCATGAATGTAAGTCCCAAATGGCCGACTTAACCAACAAATGGTATCAGGCCATACGCATCAGCCCCTTAGACTCGGACGAGTCGGACGATGAGATTGGGCTATCGGCCAATACAAGCCAAAGTAATCTGGCACGGTCATAAATTAAGCCGTGCATCGGCTAAGTGGCTGGCTGTGTACAAATATCTGAGTGTCCAAAGTATTTAGTATATGTAAGGAAATGCGTTGTCGCAGAAAAGTTATTCATATTCCTATACCCTGTATTGAAATTTTATTTACAAAATGTGTATATTTATTGTGTGTGACGGTGGTGGTGTATCTCGTTGAGGTGTTTATATTTACGTATTTATAGTTGTTGCACAGCAGCAGTATTTTACTTATTCATAATTTTAATAATTCGCCATTTTTGTAATCACGGTAGTGATCCAAACAGGAAGAATTTTAAGCTTTATACAGATCAGGTAATTTTGTTTTATTACATGTAATACGTTGTGTGAAAATTTTGTGAGAAGCAAACATTTGTATCTCATACAAAATAAATTGTGATATATAAATTCAACACAACTACATTTTGATAGTTAATTACACTGCTGAGTCGTTTTTAAACGGTTTGGGTTCCATAAAATTGGAATAAAATATGTTTTTTATTTTTGAACCTTTGATTTACGACAACGATTATTGTGGATCACGATTGGCCGCTTATCGATTTATTGATAATAAGCTGTTTCATCGCATAAAATCGTAGCAGCACATTAGAGTGACCAGCCTGCAAATAGAAAATATGTTTGCAGTTCTCGAAAGAAAGCAGTTGCCTTCGTTCCGTTTGATTCATGTTAAGCGCTGCCGTTTATTTTCCAAAAATACAAGTGTAGTTATTTATTGTTTTTCTTTCGGGTCGCATATTGAAATGCACCGTTTTTTTAAATGCAATGCGTATAACAGAGATGTGTGGAAATCCCTTCTCATATTGTGTGTGAATTTTGCATCGGCACCAAGCGCCGCGCGGGTCGGGTCTAACCTCATACGTATGCTTGTATATTTATAACGGTGTCTATAGCCGGCCATCATTATGACCGGCTTTAAATATAAGTGCAAATCGAATTGATTAAAACGTGCTATTACTTTTCTGCAAAAAAGAGTCAAGTAATGCTGCTGCGCGTTAATAACTGTTTGCTTTGTGTGTCCGCCTAGTTAAAAGATTAACTTAACATAAAAATTCTCTTAAGTCGAGCTACAACCATACGTATGTATATACGTACGTATGTATATAAAACGTTGTGTCAAGTTGTCCATCAATCTGACCGGCTTTACTTATAAATGCAATCGGGTTGATACAAATTTTTAATGTTATTTTACTCTTGTGCGAAAAGGACTGAAGTAATGCTGCTGCGCGTTAGTAAATGTTTATTTTGAGTGTTCGTCTAGCTAAATGATTAATTAAACGAAAAAATTCTGCTAAGTCGAGCTACATACATACGTATGGATGTATATGTTTAACGTTGGGTTGATACAAATTTGTAATATTAATTTTGTGCACAGAAGAGGGAACTAATGCTGCTACGTGCTTAGCTGTTTATTTTGTGTGCTTTTTCTTAGAAGATGAACTAAATATTTGAAATAAATATTTCTGCGGAGTCGAACTGCTTATATACGTACATATATGTACTTATAACGGTGTGTCAATTCGTCCATCAATCTGACCGGCCTTACTTATACATAAATGCAAATCGGGTTGATAAAAATGTGTAATACAGTTTTGGTGCAAAAAGAGTGG